ACTGTTGGCCAAATACAACCCGTCGACGCTTCCTCTCGTCTTACTGCATGTAAATCAAATGCAGTTCAAAGTTGAAAATAGGCCGAACAACAAGCGAAAAATCTTTGGGGCCCCGCAGGCATAGTTGATCAAATCTTTAGCCATGGATACACTGCCAGTTCCCCTGCAGCCGCAACAGCCACTTCCACGCTCCCCCCACTACAGACAAGCCAGGAAGAGTCGTAAGCCAAATCGCATAAATAACGCCCTAGGTCCTAAGCCAAAGCCTTGTCCCTCGTCCCTTTCCCGACCGTGACCCACTATCCGCTCTCCCTTGGAGCAGCAGAGGAAGAGAGAGGCACGCGTAGGTGGGCACCGCACACACATTTCCGTTACTCTTTATGCCCCTTTCCACGCAACGCCACTCCCACGCCAGGGCACATTTATCACACATACGCAGCGTATGCTGGTTAGCCAGAGGTCCCCCGATCCGTGGAGGGAGGATTGGACCATTGCATTGCCTGCGCCCTGGAGAATTGCAAATTTCCGTAGCCCCAAAAGTGAGTGCCGACCACCGAGCGCAGTCAAGGGGCAGCCTTAACCAAATATAACCGCACGGAACTACAGTATTTCTGACCCTGTACCACAGGGGGGGTGCGGATTCAGCGGTGGGAAATGCAATTAATTATGCGAGTGGCTCTTAAAGTACAGACGGAGCAGGAGTCATAAAGATATGGGAATGAAATGGAAAGAACTTTAGAGATATGAGAAGAGTCCGCTTTTACGAGTAGTTGAGCTAAGAAAATCAAATCTAATTCAGAAAATGTTTAAACATCTTAAATAATGATTGAGATGTCCCGAAATATTCGACGTAATCAAACTGCTCCCACACCAGAAATCGGCTATTAGATTATTATTATCATAATTTTAGCTACCATCTGCTGAATTAAAGTTTCTTTTGTAAACATCTTAAATGGTGGAACTTTATTTCTTACATGGCATTGATGTGCTTACTTTATTATTAAAGCACCCGAGGATGTTACAAATATTTAAAAATCCCATAGCCGCTTTCCCAACACTCCCTCTTCTTTCCCATTCCTTCCGCGGCCCGCAGAAATGCAACGTCATGCAACAGTTCGAGGGGAATGGAACGCGAACGGGGGAGACTTAATGAGATTCCGTTTCGCCCTTTGATTGATTGCACCAAAACGATGCGATGCTGACCAGTTCCAGGTTCAGGTCCATTCCATATCCCACCCATCGCCTCTCCTCTTTGCTCCTCAAACAACACCCACAGCCGCAGGACTTTGGCAATTTTTCAAAAAATTTAATTGAGCTTTTGGCCGTTGGCTCTTTTTGAGTAAATAAATGTTTTATTTATGAGAAATGTCTGGATGGGCCTATAGCCAATAGGTTAATGGATCTGGTTGGGGGCTCTTCTTGGGGTATTTGTAATTGCACAAACGGCAGGAAACCATCTGTAAAAATCTCGAACCCAGCCAAACATTGTAAACTCTTAATCAAGAGATACTCTTGAGATACTACTCTGAGCTCTGGGCTATTTTGCTCAATCCCCAAACACCCAGCCACAACCCACCCTCAGGAAGAGCATTTTCTTCTAATTAGAGGGAAGTAGTGTTCTTGGTTAGTGTCTTTTCGTGAGTATGAGAGGGAAGACCCTGTAAAAAGTTGACATTTTACTTTGGTTTCACTCTGTGTGGGGACCCTGGACGAAAGTTTTGCCAGCCATGTGGCCTTTTTCTGTGTTTAGAGAGGGGTGCGTTGGGGGTTAACTAATGTGACTTGAGACGCTCATCCAGACAGGGTAGCGGGAGCTCATCTGTTAAAGGAGGAGTGTTGTTAGGTCAGACGCAAAGTAAAGTAAATACTTGTATATTTTTCTATGTAAGTAACTGAAAACCCTTTTTATGGCTTAGGGCCAAGTCCCTTTTGCATTAGGCTCCCCACACATGTTGGTCCTTAAGGGGGTTTAGCGCGATGCCTGTTTATTTTTTGGCTTCCGCCTTCAATGCGAGGCACGGGACATGACTGAACTTTTGCGGATTGATTTGTTTATCCCATGTATTTTGTAAGCTACAAATGATTTGGGTTCTCTTTGTTGGAACTTTTTTGAGCGCTAATCAGACTAATTGAAGAGGGAAATCAGAAGGGAAAATCCTTTTTAAGTCTAAGCAAAGAGGGAATTGTAAGACGCTTCGTACTCAGTCCGTATATTGATTTGTACCTTATATTATATATTATATATTATATTAATTTGTATCTTAGTGGTTTTTTCGAATTTTACATTTGACATCTTAAATTTTTTCTATATCTGGCACCTACATCTACATATATAACTTCTTAAGCCAACTTGTGGAATGAGAGAATCTGCAAAAAACAAAACAAGATGCTGGACGGGGTGGGTTGAGCCACTGCAAATTCCTCCATTCTGGCTACAATAATGATACAATCTAATACCAATTTGGTGATCTGATAGATATGGTCATACCCTACGGGTCTGCGTTTTTAGTTTGCTCTTATGTAAAAATATAAAATTAGAATTTGTAAAAATAACCACTAAGGTACAGATGTCCTACTAAGTACCGGGTATAAAAGTCGTCTCACACGTTTGATTACGCTGATTACGTTTAGTTGCATTTCATACATTCACTTTCGTGCAAAAATACAATATAGCCTATTTACTCTCCGAGTACCAGTACCAAGCCATAAATTAACCACTCCAACAAGTAAGAGTCCAACACAACCTCAGAAATCACTTCCATAATGCGTATGCATTTACATACATACATATGTATGTACATACATACATATGTACATATGCATATGCGTATGCATGTTGGAACGTTTTAACAGTTCTCAACTTAATTTAGAGCGTGTTCTGAAAACCCTTCATTAAGTATCATTATATGCACATATTCTTAACAACTTCCTCCAAAGAGGTAGGACGAGTGCGGGCCGGAATTTTCAATTTTACTTTCGTTTATCTTAGGAAGTTCATCTGATTCTTCTCTTCGGCGTTCCGAGTATTTAGTCTCAAAGAAATTCCATTTTAATTACATACAATTACATGTTCCAAAAACAGAAGCGAGAGAAGAGAACAGCAGCAAAAACACTTTCTAACAGGGTAAAGAGGCAGCGAAGTGCTGACGGAGAGAGAGCGAAACGTCAAAGTTCGTTCACTTGTAAACATCCAAACAGAGGGAAAGAAGGTAAGCGTTGAGCGCCGAAGCTTTATATGCCCTCACAACAAATACCGTCTTGAACACACATTTACATACATATGCACATATGTAGTAAGTATTTATAATTATAAACGTGGAAATGGGAATCTCGATGAATGTGCATGATGTGGTTATGGTGACTCGGCTTTCGATTCGGGAAATAACCGTAATACCTAAACTTTGGAAGGGTACAACAAAGCGCAACGGACAATCAACAACAATGAAGCCAAAGCAAAAGGCACAGAGAGAGAGAGAGAGAGAGCAAGACGGTGATTGAGACTGGAAGAGCATTTTTATGCGGCGCAAGTTTTTATTAAGCAAGTCGACGAAGTGTGGTGTGGGGGCTTGAGGGTGATGATGCAAAGGGGGGAATTGAGGGAGCAGCATAAGGTGAAGGAGCATAGAATGAACATTGCCGGCTAAACCGGTAACACTTGTTTATCAGCGGCAGCCAACCCACACGACCGACAAAAAAGAAAGAGAGAGAGAGAGAGAAAAAACCCGTATGTCAGTAGATTGAGCATGAAAATCCATATGTATGTTAAGCAGTGACTGTGTGCGAGGGAGAAACAGCCAGAGGAAGAGGATCGGTCAAAAGGGTTTCTTCATTCGCACTGCAGGTGACAAAGTCAAGAGACAAGAGACACAGAGAGGAGAAAGAGATGGAGATAGAGAGAGGTGGGTAAATAGGGAGGGACTCCTCTAATGTCATCATTATTGTCAATATAACAAGTTTATTGACTGTCATCTCCCCCCAGCCACATGCACTCCTTGGGGTCATTAGAGAAATGCTTGGCATCGGCAAAGTTTGTTCTACCAGCTTCCCCTCCACCACACTCTGCGCGCTGCTAAGCTTAGATTAAACGCAAGTTAATGACTTAATTAAGTGCATGGCAAAAAAACAAACAAATGAGTGCCGAAAGGAGAGAAAGAACAAATACATAGATAGAGACAAATGTTAGATATTGTCGCAGCAAATTGTGGATATTAACGCGTGCAAATATGCTCCGACAGAAGAGCAGTAAATAGTTGGAGAGGGGGACGAAAGCAGGTCTGAGTTGTAACGGTACCAGTGCATGGAGGGAGAGGTCAATAAGAAATGTAACGGCATTGGCGAATAGATAAAGGTTGAATGACATTTCCCTACGAAAACGGAAAACGTACACAAGTACCCTCTAACTCCTGAGATTCTCCAAGAAGGCCAATTATAGCTTAATTTTAATTCAAATTAATTCCTTCAGTCCACGGTTAACCATTTGTTGATATTTCTTTAGTCTAATCAACAGCAAGAGAGAGAAAGATAAAGGGAGAAAGAAAACAAATGGTATAAAATCCGTCTCTCTAGTTTCACTGAGAGAGGTTTTAAATTCAAGGTCGCTGTTAAATTTAATCAATGTTAAATGGCAGCCTTACGGCTGAATAAAAGAGTGTAGGCATATTCAGCACAGCATTTAGCAGAGAGAGAGAGAGAGCTCTGTTGAGAGCAAGCAATGTTGAAAAGAGAGCCGACCGGTTTTGAGATACTCAAAACACTGGCGCAAATATGAGCATTTTGACTCAGAATGCTAAGTGGGGTGGATTTTACGTTGCGCGCCATACCCCATACATTTTACCTTGCTGCTTTATCAGAAACATTGTCCAATTAGACTTTATTTATTCCAAAATCCAATATCAGAACCGTTTGCCTAAAATTGACCGTTTGCCAACAAAATTCCAACTCGACTGCTCGTTAGTTTCTGAATTTCTGGATCTGTTGTTTGTGCATCTGTTGGATCTGTTGTGCATACCCTATTTACATTCATACCTTGCTGGCATAAGTCAGGAATCTTCCCCGCCAAATTGAATTCAGTTGAATTCGAACCTTCAAGTTTTCCGCTTTTCCGCGTTTCCATCCGGAGGCATGTTGTGTTTTTCCGTGGTTTTCCGTGTCCAAGTCGCGCGCGCTTTTTGACGTAAAGTGCTTGAGAAATTCCGGATTCGCGCCGCGACGCGAGGGAATGAATGGAGTGATAAGAGAAACAAATATTGAAATCAAATATTTAGAGCAAGTAAAGAAAGAAGGGAAAATAAATTGAAATTAAGGGAAATATTTGTTGCGCGAAAATGATGGAAGAGTGCTAAGTGTTTATTTCCCAAATAAATATTGCCCCTCCGGTTTATAACGGCGATTGTGTGCGAGTGTCGCGAGTGTCAATATGTGCGAGATCTGAAGATAAGATAAAGGAAGAGTAAAAGAGAAAAGGAATAACGAAGGGAGAAAGAATTAACTCCAGAAAGTAATTGCAACCCCGAAAATCCCAAAATGTGGCCACAGATCCTCCTTTTAGTACTCCCCACACTCATCCAAGGCGTCCAGCGGTACGATCAGACGCCCCTGGACGCCAGTCCCTACTACCGCAGTGGCGGTGGCCTGATGGGGCCTGATCTGAGCGGCACCTCAGCCACCTCCTTGGACGGTTTCCCGCACCACAACCGCTGCGAGGCGATCACCATTTCGATTTGCAAGAATATACCCTACAACATGACCATTATGCCCAATCTGATCGGACACACCAAGCAGGAGGAGGCCGGCCTGGAGGTGCACCAGTTCGCGCCGCTCGTCAAAATCGGCTGCAGCGACGACCTGCAGCTCTTCCTTTGCTCCCTGTACGTGCCCGTCTGCACCATCCTGGAGCGCCCCATCCCGCCCTGCCGCTCCCTGTGCGAGTCCGCGCGCGTCTGCGAGAAGCTGATGAAGACCTACAACTTCAACTGGCCCGAGAACCTCGAGTGTTCCAAGTTCCCCGTCCACGGGGGCGAGGACTTGTGCGTCGCTGAGAACACCACCTCCTCCACCCCGGCGCCCGCCAGGAGCGCCCCCAAGGTGACCACCAGGAAGCACCAGTTGGGAGTCGAGATTCCCCATCGCAATATTGGATTCGTGTGCCCAGTTCAGCTGAAGACGCCGCTGGGCATGGGCTACGAACTAAAAGTTGGTGGAAAGGTGCGTTGTTGAAAGATTAATTCCTACGTACAATTTAATACAAATTAAAGCCCGTGGACATGTTTGGGAGAGTGTGTTTGGGAAATGGGAAAATTATTATCAAGAGGCAATAAATTATGTAGACAAATTATTGCTATTGGTACATTTTAGGTGTGTTTGTTTTAGTTTTTTAGTAAAACATTCGGTGCCCATTTCATTTCTGCCTGTTGCTGCTTTTAAAACTGCTTGACATCATTTTGTAAATTTCCCGACGGGATTCTGAAAAGTTTTTAAATAAGGAAAGAGCTATCGTAGCTCGCCCGCCTTCAGTTTTAAATCTTTTAAAATATGCTGCATAGGAATAGATTCCTCAATAGGAAACATAAAACTAATGAAATCCCCAACTGATGGATAGGCATGGGGATTATTCCTGGAAGTTGATCGGTTACAGATATCACCTCAGCATATGGGTCAAACTTTTTGTTGTTTTATGTCTTCATCTGGGGTCTGGGCCTGAAGCAATTTGCTAGCGCTGCGAATGAGCAGGTAGGAGGAGAGCAGAATGCATATCCTGTTGCGTTGGGCAGTAAACAATTTCCAACCACCACCAGGAAAGCCAGCAGGAGGTCCTGCCAAGACAGAGGCGTATTCAGGGTACAGGGAACAAGAGAGAGAGAAAGAAGAAGGAGTGCGGTATTGAGGAGCCCTCATTCCGATTCCTACCTGCCCGTACCCGTATCGTACATCATCGAAGAGCAGCATTAACCAACGTCAGGTAGATCGCTTTTGTGGCTTCCCTCGAGGAAAGGTAAACCAGTTTTCTCAGTTTTCATCTTTTTCTTGAGCGGAGGAGAGAGGAAAAATAATAATTCTTTAATTTGTAATGCCTGGTTATGTAACCCAAAAAAACAAAAAACAGAGAAAACCCAACGAGATGTGGAGAATATTTCATAACTTGAACTGCTGGGTCAGGCCTGTTGCATTTTCACGTTCTTTAATTAATTTTCCTAACATTTTCAGTTCCTCGTCTTTTGACGACTTTCCACAGTTCATTTTGCCCAGCACCGGCAATTGTCGAGTAGAGTTTTTCAATGTTTTTCTTTCGTATTTTCTCTTCTTTTCCTCGGCTATTATTAGACTCCAGTCCTGCCCGTTTCCCGCTCTTTCTGTTGGCTGGCATGTGTAAAGCGCATTAAATACTTTGAGGCAGGATAATTCACACTTCGCTCCGAGTCTGGTGTCTTCTATCTGTCGGAAACATGTGTATCTCCTAGCTACTTTAGCTATGCGATTCTGTTGCTTGTTTATCCCTCTCAGTCTAGATTGGCTTCGTTTTTCTTTTCTTCTCCTCAGTGTGTGTCATCAGCAACACTCTGCCCCATCTCCTTCTCCTTCTTCTTCTCCACCTCCACCCCAGCCCCCTTTCCATCATCCTAGTCAGCATCTTTGCTTTATTCAGGGACTAAATGCCTTTCGAGAGAGCTGCGTGCGAAATTTAGCAGCTTGTTTTCCTCGCCTAGCTTTCGATTGAATTTGGATTGCCTCCATATCATGATTGTCTGCCGTCTGTGTCTGCTAATGATAATGGCACATCGTGAGAGTAAATTAATGCTTATTGGATAGATAATGATCCATATACATACTTATACGGGGGAGCATTTCCAGATTTGACATTCCTGCTCCCCTGCGACATTTCCATTCAGGTCTACGGCTAAACAATTGGTTCCATTGAGGAGAATGTACGAAGTTCCGAGTGTTTAGTCACTACGCTATCTAAAACAAAAATCTTGTCTAAGAAACCAGCAAATTCACTTTCCCAAATCATTAGCCACACTTCTTTCAGCTTCTGTCAGAACCATCAGATTACGACAGACCCATGCCCGATGACCCCGATTGATGGCTAAAAATGTAGAAAACTGGGCCAGAACCAGAGACAGATACCGCCCTTAACCATGAACCAACCAACCTCAATCAACTCCTACGAAAGACCAACCTCAACGTGATCCGCGGCAGCCAAAAATAAATTAATCAAAGAGCGCGAAAGGACAGCAGCGTAGAGGGTGAAGGGGGGGGGGGGGGGGGCATGGCGCGTGAGGAGGGATTGTGTTCGGCTGTTTGGCAAATCGTAAAACCATTAAAAGCCTCATTTGGGACGCTTTTGACACATTTAGTGGGCGATAGAGTACAGCTGCCCCTTTTAGGGATTATTTCTAGGCCCTCAAATTGATTCATTTTGGGGAAAGAGAAGATCCCAAGCTTTCACTTTTAATTGTGAACCGGTTCTGCAATGATTGCTCCTCACTTCCAAATAGATTTCCCTTGCCCTTACAGCATACAAAGGAATTAGGTTTGTGCCTCTTTAGGCCTTTTCCTATGATTATTTGAGCAAACAACACTGCGAACGAATTCCAACTGATTCTACTCAGTATTTCCCTTCAGGGGCTCCGGCTCTCCCACTCGATATCGGAGGGGTTTGGGTAATTGATTTCCGAAATTACATATTTTGTATACGGCATTTTTGGCTGTTTGTGCAAATTGCCTGCTTAATTTAGTCAAAAAGGTCGATTATGGTGATGCTGATGGGGCAAGGGATTAGACCAAGTTGAATAGAATTAAGTTTTGTAGCCAAAAGCTATTGACTGCTACTGGGATAATTTTAATTATTTAAATGATTACAATGGTGCCAAAAAAAAAGTTTTATTTATACCCGATCTTCGATTATTGCAGGGACCGAAATCAGTAGATTCTATATTTTAAAAATCATACAACAATAATTTTGTTTCAGTTTTTAGCATAATATGATGTGGAGGATGAGAAGTATGACAGGGTATTAAAGCTGTGACGCGTACGAAGCGTCTCAGAAACGTTCTAACTCGTTTTATTATAAAAACCAGTGTTTGCACAGAGGAATCAAAGAGAGACTTTTTGCAGTCATGAAAGATGCTTAACGTATTATTTTACGTGTCTTAAGCACAAACGATACAGCCAAAGATGCATTTATCATTGTCCACGGATTCTTCCCTGAATTAGTGGGAACACAGTCCTCCACATTCACATCATCATCAGCACTCATTCGTAGCAACAATTCACAAGAAAAGCCCAGGGTGTAATCTCTTTGGCTAACTTTATCCAGTCCTGACGGGGAAATGGATCTCATGGAATTTCCTTTAATGTCCTTTAACGAAACTATATTGTTCTCCATGTGCGCATGTATGCTCTCCTCGCATTAAAACTATAATCCACTTTATATTTTACGCTCGAACTGTTCAATTTATAACCAATAAATGTTAAGCCGATGTCGATTATTTATTTATTTTTACACACGGCTCCCATGCTCTCCGCTCCGCCAGAAAGTACGAGAACAGCATCGAAAGCATTTCAACTCAATTAATTTGCTGGAAAGCGAGAGCTGGGAAAAAATCCTACGTACTTCCGGCTACTTAAGCACAGAGGCAAACAAAGACGGTACAGGGCAGGACAGCTGCCCCAAGCGAAAGTCCCCCTAAATCCATAAAAGTGACGAGAGAATGGGAAAGAAATTTTTCCTATACGTCCTGCCCACTATCTTGGTCATGGCTCTGCCTCTGGTTCTAAGCGATAACAGCGCTTTGTCCTACATGGTAGGGAGTGTCCTTCCGGACAACTAACCATGTAGCTGACAAGCGATGGCCATGTTGCGCGGTTAGGGGTGAGAAAAGCAGTTTTAACGGAGAAACGGAAAAATATAGAAGAGCAGGGACATTAAAACATTTCAGGGAGCACCGTAAAGATTATTGTTAAATTATAAAAATTATTGTATAATGTTTCTGTCACACTTGCACTTGTCTATCTGAATGATAATCAGATATTGCAGGTAAAAACTTTTACTTGAAATTATTCTTTACTCCCATGCAATGTGCATTTATGTTGGAGACTCACATTTGTATTTATGCAGAGAAATGTGGTTTGTAAAATATAATTCGCGGTTCCGAACTAGAACAGAAATTGGAATGAAATTGAAACTGGATTTGATATTGGAATTGTTAACAAAATGAAATGCTAATACCTGGGTTTGACTTTTGCCTGACAGTTTGGCCAGATAAATATGCCTAAATATTTAATTACTGGCATCCATTTAATGGCAGTGCCGTGCATTGAAGTGCAGTCGACATGGCAATTTGCACATTTAAAATGTTTGGCTTAATAACTGTGGCTAACCGCACCCCCAAATACAAGTCAAAAAACATTCTGAAAATTCACAATTCGGTTGACACCTTTTATTGTATGCATTTCAGGCTGCGCTTATTGTGCATTTACTAAACAGCAGGTTGCCTGTTGGCTTGGCTGTTGCCTCCCGCCGGGGTGTAAAAACCATTGCAAATGTAACATTTTGGTTTTTTTTGGTTTCGTTTACAACGATATCAAAAGTGTTTAGGCTGATGGAGCTGTACGAAGCGGCTTTGGCGCAGCTTCACTCTGTTTGGTTTGTCAGCAAGAAGTGTGTCAAGCGAATAGAACAAATTCTTGGATTGTTCAGTGGTTATTTTCACCACTTTATTGCTGATATATATACACACATATGTAAGTATGTAAATAAGTATGTATGTATGCACAAAGTAAACTGAAAATTCTTCTTTCATGCTCCTCGAACTGTCCGATTATTTGTCACTCTTCCATCAGTTTCTCTACATTTGATGTTGGATTAGATAACTTTCAATACTCAAGACTCCAAGCAGAAAATCAGACATCTGGGAGGGAACTGACTTCCAAGTTGCGTATCTACATACGTGTAGATTTATATAACTGCTAATCCATGAACAATCACAACGGACCGAAACCTAACCTAATCCATATATTTATCATATAACAATGCAAACTGGGTCGTTTAGCCTGTATATTTTTCACAGTTTTTCTGTTTTTACTTTGTTCAAAACCCCGAGCCGACTCGCTTGTGGCGATTTGTCTATGTTATCCATGTTGCATACGAAACGCCTATGGGATGTTTATTTAAGGAATAAGGAATAATAAGGAATCATTAAAAT